TCTCTTCTCCCTTCCTTTTTTGAGTTCTCTTTTTGTAGCAAACAATGGTAAGAGGTTCTTCACAATCCCAAGCCTCTTCCTCATCCACCTCAAGGCCTGGTGTCATAGCCCCCACGCGGCTCTGCGGCAGCAACGGCTGGTATGCGTTGTCACAAGCTCACTGTAGGCTCAGCCACGTCGGGATCTAGCTCTGTTAGCTCCGACTTCGGTAGTAACATGTTGTGCTTTTATATTGACGATGCCCTCGGCTTGAAGATCTCACCCACCATTGTCCTTGTCATGAGTCTCTGCTTCATCGGCTTTGTCACTGCTCTTCATTTGTTTGGCATGAATCTTTGACATTTACAAGTCTTTGATTCCGATGAAATCTTGACGGTTAGGTTTCCAATTACCCTTAATCGTGGACCCATCTTGTCGGTTTCCCCAAATCCAACTCCCAATCTAGGGTTTTTCGCATTTCAACCCATCCCCCACAATTCTTCGGTGCCAGTTGAAGATTTACAGTTTTTGAGATTGCTGTCTTTGTTACACAACAAATTTTATAGTTTTGAGAATTGATTCGTTATTCTTATGGTACAATTCTTATTCTCCTACTTGTAATCTTGGGGTTTGATTCGCTTGAATGTTCTATGCTGCTTTGTGTTCTACCTAAATTTCAGCTAATGATTGAGTTGCTCAATTATTTAATTGAATTATAACATGTTTATTTTGTTGTTAATTTGGTTGCGTTTTAATTATATCTTGGAGAAAAGCAGATCGGTCAAGGTATTGTTAGCTTAGGGTGGTGGAGGTTACTGCCTTTGCATTTGCTGCTGTAAACTTGGGTTATAGAAATGTTGGTTCTTCGTCAGGGTGGATTTTATATGGGAAACTGTTTCTTTCATTTGGATTATCATTTTGTGTAGAAAATGAACACACGACATGACTGAGAAAAACCCAGATCTAGGTTTGAGAGAGGAAAGGAGAAGAGAGAGATAGAGAAAGAATAAGAAGAACAAAGAAGAAGGATGAGCAAGGAGGAAGAAAGGAGGAAGAAGATGAAGTTTGAGAGAGAAACCCAAATCCCAGATCTGGGTTCGCAGAGGTAAGGGAAAACGAAAGGTGAAGGAGAGAGAAAGTGAAAGAGGAAGAAAAGATGAGGTGGATAAAAAAGAAAATATTATTATTTTTAAATTAAATAAAAATGTCAACTCATAGGCCAACTATGTTTTTTTCCACGTCATTAGTTACGAAAAAAAAGGAATTGATTTGCTGGCAAGTTAATGTGACACCTGTCATTTAACTGACGGAAAGACTGTTTCCATACAAAAATGAAAGTTTAAAGATAATTTTGATACTTTTTAAAGGTTAGGGACAATTTTAATATCAAAGTGAAAAGTTAAGGGACCAAAATGGTACTTAAACTTTATTATTATTATTATTATTATTTCTTAACCGGAAGCATCTTACATAGGTTTCGAACCCACAGCATGAAAGGTTTTTTTTTTTTTTTAAACCAACCTTCAATTTGGAAGTTACATTATATTTTAATTAACTCAAAATCGAACCCATATCAAACTCCTTAAGAAAAGCTTTTGAGCATATGTCTTTTTATTTATAAAATTTAAATTAAAAAATTTATTTAAGAAAAACTAAAATATTTTTACTTGAATCAACATTCAAATCCTTGATGAGGAAAACTTTTTATATCTAGAGAATTGTGTTATAAGCTAAATTTATATATATTAATGTAGAATTTTTATTTTGATATTATTAATATTTGGATGAATTTTATGAGATTTTACATGGTTTTCATTTTTTGCACAAAAAAAGACTTAAATGCATAATAATAAGAGTTTTAGCAATTAATTGAACATCTTTTGAACGTTGAGGGACTGAATTGCAAGAAGAAAGGCTCTTCTTTGAGACCTAAATGAATGAATCTTAAGTTTTGAGATTTAAGCGATCATTGTGAAAAATATAAAGGATCAAATTTGCAATTTTACCATTGAAAAATTGCAAAGAGAGGCCAAAAACCCGACACGGGTGTAGTGTCGAGACTTAATTCACAGTGTAATTTACAGCATCGGTACCATGCGTTCAGCATCCAATATTCAAGTTTTCTATTCTGTTTCAAGTCCTACTTCTTTTCTACTAAGTTTTCTTAAACCCTATAAATACCCATTCAAAAATCAATTTCGGGGCTTTTGGGGAGGACACTAAGAGAGAGACAGTTAAGAGGAATTCAACAACAAAAGAAAACTAACACTTGAAATCATATATCACTAAATTGGTTTTGCTTGTTCTTTGAATTTTATGTTATGATATTGGATACTCGTATATTTATCAAGGGATTATTGATTTGTCTTTTTTTAATTATGAACTGATTTAACCATCTAAGGCTCGACGTAGCATAATCAATTTAATATAAACTTTATGATTTTTATATTTTCAAGATTTATTATTCTATGTTGAGTATATATTATTGTTCTTAATATTTTTTAATGATTAGCTACCATTAAAACTAATTTGGATAGCATAATTAAGACCAAAAAGAGATTTTATACAGTATTTTTTAGTAATATATATCATGAATTGAACGAAAACCAAAAATAGACTGATACGATTCGTGCTCGTGTAGCATTAGTGATAAGTAGACTTAATTTTCTATGTAAATTAGGAAATTTCACATAATATAATGCATCTTTATTTATTTAAATTCACATAGAGATATAGTGAATTAATAAGTAAAGATATATTTGATATAACTTGAGAAAGTGTATCAAATAAAATAAGAAATCTCCTTATTACATAAATAATAAATACCTTAAAAGTACATTAATCTAAATGTTATATTAGTGACTATGGTGAAATCGAATATTTTAAAATTTTAACTCTTGGTGTTATTAAAAATCAATTTAGTTTTTCTTTAATTAATTTAATTATTTAGTTTATTCAAATCATTTAATTTCAATTGTTCAAATAAAAATAGAATTGGTTAATTTTGGTATTGATTAAATACCTTTTTGGTCCCTCTACTATAGGAAAAAGCTCATTTTTAATCCATGTACCGAAAAAATTTCCTTTTTAGTCTTTACTGTTCACAAATCTGCCCCTTTTTAGTCCTTCCTTTCAATTTTAGTTGATGTGGCAGGTTAATTAACGAAAAATTTTATTTTTTTCTTTACTTAAATTACGTGGAAAATTCATCCGGCAAAACGAGATGACATGGCCAAATGTTTTATCTTTAATTACCAATTTACCCTCATCTTCTTCCTCCATCCTCTCCTTCCTTCAGCCTTTTTTTTCTTTTTTTTCTTACCTTTAGGCGAACCTAGGAGCCTGGGTTCGTCGCGATGAACCCAGCTCGTGGGTTCGTCGCGAACCCAAAAGCCTGGGTTCATCGCGAACCCACAAGCTGGGTTCACGACAAACCCACGAGCCTCGGTTCGCCATCACTGAAACATTCAAATCCTTCTATTTCTAGATCGATTTCGATCTCAAATCTCACAAGTAACTTATGAAACATAACTAAGCTCAAAATATAGCTGAAATCAAATAAAAATCCCTCATTCAACTCCTAATCTGGAAACGACAAGAAACTGCAAATTAAAGTCTAGATCGAAATCATCATCGCATTTAAGGCTTTAACAGTGAAGTAATTTATGAATACAGAGAAGAGTAAGCATGCAAATGAGAGAAGTTCAGGCAAAAGCTGAATTCGAGAGAAATCTACCAACAGAACTTGGAGCAAGCAGTAGGAGATCTGCAGCTGCAAATCCCCTTCGATCTCTTCAGAGAAGTACCAACAGAACTTGAAACTTTCTGAATCTTGCGACAAACCTAGCCTGGGCTCGCAATGAACCTAGCTTGGGTTTGCGATGAACCCAGCTCGTGGGTTCACGATGGCGAACCCAGGCTCGTGGGTTCGTCGTGAACCCAGCTTGTGGGTTCCTCGTGAACCCGCGAGCTGGGTTCTTCTCGAACCCGCGAGTTGGGTTCATCGTGAACCTCTCAAGCTGGGTTCGTCGCGAACCTCTCGAGCTAGGTTCCTCGCGAACCCAGGCTCTTGGTTTTGCTGGAGGTAAAAGAAAAAAAAAAAAGAAAAAAAGAAAAAAGGCTGGAGGAAGGAAAAGCCGGGAAAGAAGATGAGGGTATATTAGTAATTAAAGGTAAAAAATTTAACATGTCATCAAATTTTGCCACATGGATTTTTCACATAATTTAGTTAAAAAAAATGAGTGTTTTCGTTAATTAACCTGCCACATCAGTTAAAATTTAACGGAAGGACTAAAAAATGGTCGGATTTGTGAACAGTAAGGAATAAAAAAAGGATTTTTTCGGTACAAAAACTAAAAAGAGGCTTTTTCCTATAGTAGAGGGACTAAAAAGGATATTTAACATTTGGTATTTAATTAATCTACAATCTCTATGAAACGATGCTTTATTTTCATCATTATATTATTTAAACTGATTAATACATTTGTTAGAGTGGAATTAACTCATCATTGTGCAATTGGCAAGCATTCCTCAATCCTTCATAAACCATAATTAATTTATATATATATATACTGTTGGGAAAAAAGAAGAAATTATAATATTTTAACAGTTAAGATGTTAAAACATCTAATTACTTGTTTGTATTTCTCATTTTTTATTAAATAAATAAGTGTATAAAGATTGAGGGTATATTTGAATATCATACCTTTGTTGCAAGTAGATTACTAGAAGCAATATTCATTTGATAGTCTCCTTGAAATAATCAACAAGGGGTTGATTATGCACCAAAAATTGAATTGCACAATTTATGAAACAAAAATTCAACTGCATGGTACTCTCAAACCCAACCCATGTCACCAGTAATAACTAGTCATAATCCTAGACAATGATTAGTTAATTTTAACAAATAAAACAATATTATATACAATTTGACAAAAATAAATATTACCAAAACGTACCTTTGCTAAGATAATCATCACTATCAAAATGTTCTATCTCACAACTACAATTGTTGTCTATTAAGGCATTTCCTCAACTTTTTCAAATTTTTTGTAATTTTTTCAAATTATTTATTTGAGTTTCTAATTGTAAAATTATGGGTTGTCTTTCTTTGAATTCTTCATATCCCTGTGCTTCTAAATAGAGAAAGCATGAACAATTTTCCTTAAATGATCCATTGCAAATTTCACGTTGTAGTTCATTGTAAGACAACTAACATGAAGAAAGCCTTGCTTTCAGACTTCACATGCTTGGATGAGGAATGGAAAGGAAGTGTCATTCAAACCCATTGTGCCATCTTATTTGGATTATATTGCCTTTGGGGTTAGTAATGATATTACAGGAAACAAGAAGGGTTGTCAATCTGGTAGTGGGATTATATTGGTTCTGTTATTGATATGCACATAATCTGTATCGAATTATATTAGGTATCGTTTTAGGTTTATCACTATAAATAAGTAAATATAAATATAGCTTAAAAAGATAACTTTGTAATTTTTTTTTTAAATTTAATAAATATAAAAAATGTACATAATGACTTTAACAATTTGACTTCAAAATTGTGTTGAAGCTTTTATTCTTTAAATAAAATATATGAGCTTTATTAAATGTTTTATAACAACATAAAATCCAATTCAAAAGTAAATTGCAATTTCACAACAGGTAGCCATTTTCTCTTTTTTCTTTTTCTTTTTTTTTTTCTATAAAAAAAATCTTATCCCCTAGTCTCACTTTTCTTTCGTTTCTTCTCCTATCCAATGACTCCGATGACGCTATGGATTCTGACCAAATTTTCTTTTTTTAAATCTCTCATCTAATTGCCATTACATTCTAAATCTAAAACAAAAAAATTTTCCTTTTTCACCTACTTCTCAATTTCGGCTTTCTCTTTTTTTTTTTTTTTTTTAATTCTTTCTTCAAATCTAGGTTTTTGATCTAGATTCTAGAAACAAATTGAACACTTGAGTGGAAGAGGTAGAGGGAACTTCCTCAAAAACCAGCCAATCTCTTCATTGGCGAGTTTCCAAGGAGCGTGTGGATTCCATATATTTGATTATGTTCTTTTATTTTTCTATTTCTCTTGGTGTGAAAAATTCACATATCTGTTTTTTTTTTTATTGTTTAGCGTGAAAGTAGGTATAGACATGTCCCGACTAAAAATCAATTACACAATATTCTAATTGGTACAACCATTTTCAATCGGCATGGCCAAGATTTAAAACGATACAATATTAGAAGATTTATGTATCGATTTTGTTTCAAAATTGATACATATAAATTTTACTAATTGGTACGGTATGAGATTTACAACCTTGGCAAACCCTATCTTTTGCAATACTATAGTACTGGTTGCATGCACTTTTTTCTTTGTAGTAATTGAAGAAATGCATAATTTGAAACTCCATGACATCGATGAGGATGTGATGTTGAAATGGCGAGTGGTGATCAATGGTTGTCTATTTTTGAATTTAACTGTGAAGTTTGACTGTAATGGATCATTTAAGGAAAATTGCACATGCTTACTCTAGTATGAAGGCGCAGGTAAATGTAAGTTACATTGGATAACTTAAATAAGTCTAAGAGTAAGAAGAGTTTGGTGTTAAACTATGCAATATTCGTTTATTTGATAGTATATAATTTTTTGATGGTCATCGTTCTAGTGAAGGTATATTTTATTAATGTTTTAACGTATTATAGAAAGCCTAAAAGAGTAAAAAAAATTTGTTCTTGGACTATTTTAGTGGTGTAGCCTTTCATGGTTATCTATCAAGGGAAAATGTTACACATTTTAAATATATAATGGATTATATATATTAATTTATTTAATATCCCATCATCTTATATAATTTATAATTTGTCATAATATTTATTGTGGCATTGCCATTTTTTCTTGACTATAAGAGCTCAACACTTTACTATATATCTCAAAAAGAAGATAATTTTAATTAGTTAATAACATGAAATTTTAAATTAAAAATCATAAATTCAAATGTTAAGTTAGGTTGTGAAAGATTTGAAAAAAAGAAGGGCATGTCAAGAGAATTTTAAAACAAGAGGAAATTGTATTAGTAATAAACCCCAACATTAAAACCATAAAATTCAATGAAAATAAATTTGCATCAACTCATATAACTTATGACAAATGAATACATAGATGGTTCAACGTTCATGGTAGCAACTTACATACACCAGCAAATTTTTTATTAAAAATAAAACCCTAAGTTACAACAAACAAAAGAGTGCAGTAGTCCACACAGCAAGCAGCTTAACTACATTCCTAATTTATAGAAAAAGGTGGTTCCATTCATCTTCAAGTTGAATGTAGATAGAAAACCTGATAAAACATCCATGTTTCTTCAAGTTGTTTATTAGACTTCACAACCTGTCATATTGTTATATAATATTCCATTATGCCAACAAAATAGCATCAACAAAAGCCAAAGCGAACAGATTCAAAAGTTTATCACAAAGAGTAGAACACAAAGGATAAAAATTGTTTTTGTTGAGAGAGAAGGTAGACTAGAAAAGATAAATAGAAATGACACATACCTAGAACTCTGATAAATATCCAAGCAACTCAGCCCTGCATCCCATTTCCACCTCCAATCAAATCTCCCAAACTTATCATTGAATATGGCTTTGGCAATGGAGATGGTCGACCACTTGTAAGAGCCTGATAAACCTTCTGCATAATGGGGCGAAATTGAGGATTGGAATGCAAACATGTAAATGCTAGCTTTGTGGTAGCAACCACTTGCTCAGCCACCTTATTCCTCCTTTGAGGTTTAAGGCATTGGTCTATGACATCCTTTAGCAACATCTGCTGGCCATTTGGTGTCCACAAATCTGAAATAAGATCACCTGGATGCCTCCCCATAATTATTTCCATTGTTACCACCCCAAAACTATAGACATCACATTTTTCACTTACTTGCATCGTGTAAGCAAGCTCTGCATAAGCAAGTCTAGTTAGTTATAAAACAATATGATAATTACTGGAGTTTATTAGAAGATATCAAATGAATGAAATACCTGGAGCTGTATAGCCAAATGTGCCTGCAAAGGATGTCCAATTAGAGGAATCTGGCTTCAAAATCCTAGCTGTGCCAAAGTCTGAGACATGAGCTTCATAATCCAAATCTAACAAAACATTGTTGCTAGAAATGTCACGATGGATTATTGGTGAAAGGCGATCATGGTGCATGTAAGATAAAGCACTCGCTAACCCTTTAACAATGTTCAATCTCTTATCCCAATCCAACTCTGCCGCTTCTTCTGGGTTGCTCAAAACTGTCCTCAAGCTCCCCCTTTCTACAAACTCGTAGATCAGGAATGAATACTCTGCATTAGAACAAAAACCATACAACTTGACAATGTTACGATGTCGTATGTCCGCTAAAGCACAAATCTCGCTTTCAAATGCTCGCAAATTGATGGATTGATTGTCATCTGATGGGTTAAGTTTCTTAACCGCAACAACTCGACCAGTTGGCAGCAGAGCTTTGTAAACATTTCCATATCCTCCTGAGCCAATGCAATAGTTGGAGTTGAATTGCTCTGTAGCTTCAAGAATGTTTTCATAGAGGATTTCCCCATCATATCCCCATATGGCAAATATATCCCGAAATTGGCGCTCTTTTATCTCAGATTTTTTGCGACGAATAAGAAGTAAACACCCCACCAAGATAAATAACAGAGATAGAACGCCCAAAACTGGTGTAATGATTAAAATTACAAGTCCGCTGCTACTTTTCTTCTGGCTTTTGGATACACAATGCGGGAGAACAGTGATATCGCCACAGAGGCCTTTATTGTTTCTAAGAGCATCAAATGGGGCACGAAGGAAACCTTTAGTAAGTGGGATAGGGCCCTCTAACTGATTATAAGAGATGTTAACATATGTTAAGCTCTTCAAGTCATCAAAAGTAGGGGGAATGGAACCGAAGAGCATATTATGAGAAAGATTCAGCGTTTCCAACACACGTGATCTTCCAAGCTCTTGTGGAATCTCTCCTGTTAACAAATTCCAACTCAAATCAAGGGTTTCAAGGGCAAATATTTTGCTTATTTCAGGTGGAATACTTTCCCCAAGTAGATTGTTGCTCAGGTTCAATTGTAATAACCTGAAGCAATTCCCAAGTTGTTCGGGAATTGGTCCAACCAGATTGTTCTTTGCCAAGATGAGTTGTTGCAGATTTACTAGGTTTCCTATCTCTGGTGTGATTCTGCCTAAGAGTTGGTTGTCATTCAGCAAGAGATAAACCAGGCTTGTCAGCTTGCCTATTTCCTTAGGAATCTCCCCACTCAGCTGATTTGAAGAGAGGTCAAGCCGAGTCAATTGAGTGGCTTGAGCTAGCTCAGGAGGTATCCTACCAGATACCTTATTGTTGGAGATCTTCAAGCTTGTGAGGTTTTGACATAGACCCCAATTTGGAGAAAGTTCACCGTACAACTTGTTATCACTCAAATCAATAAAATCCAAGATGGGATATATGCCAAAAGCTTCTGATATATTTCCTTCAAGTTGATTCTCTTCAAGCCTTGCCCTGTATAAGCTAGTGCAGTTTCTCAAACTTATTGGGATGGGACCAATTAAATGGTTTCTGCTGACAGCCAAATATTTGAGTGAGCCCCTAAGGCATAGGTTGTCAGGTACACGGCCAGTGAGTTGATTATCACTTAATTGTAAATATTCCAAGACAGTGAGGTTATTCATTTCTACTGGAATGCGACCAGACAAAGAGTTACTTCTAAGCTGTAAATTAGTAAGTCTTGTCAAGTTTCCTATGGAAGCTGGGATTGGACCAGAAAGCATGTTATCACCGAGGAGAAAAGAGTGTAGATTGGCTAGGTTTCCTATGACATTCGGTATAGTACCTGTGAGATTATTTCCTAACAACTGCAAGTCAAAAAGTGATTGAATCATTGCTATTTCACGAGGAATAGAACCAGAGAGCTCATTCGCATAAAGGTAAAGATGTACTAAATGGCTAAGATTTCCCATTGCTTTCGGGATCATACCAGTTAAGGAGTTACTGGACAAATCAAGCCTAGTAAGATATCTTGTCATCCCGAGTTCTGGAGGTATAGAACCAGATAACTGATTATCCTGAAGCTCAAGCAAATGAAGTGAACTTAACCTTCCTATTTCACTAGGAATAGAACTAGATAGCTGATTTCCATGAAGGCGAAGTTCACTAAGTGAAATTAACCTTCCTATTTCACTAGGAATAGAACCAGATAATTGATTGGTAGAAAGGTTAAGATATTTTAAATTGCTTAAATTTCCTATAGATGCTGGGATTGTGCCGGTTAAGGAATTGCCTCCAAGGTGAAGGTCAATAACTGAACTCAATCTTCCTATTTCACTAGGAATAGAACCAGATAGCTTATTATAATAAAGCCAAATATGTTGACAATTGCTTAAATTTCCGACAGAAACAGGAAGTGAACCACTAAGTTGGTTCCTAGCAAGGGCTAGTACGGCCAGCGAACTCAACGTTCCTATATCCTTGGGAATATTTCCAGAAAAATTATTGGCAGATAAACTGAAAAAAGTGAGTTTGGACAGGTTAACGATGTCAGAAGGAATGACCCCATAAAGTGAATTATTACCAAGATCAAAGTAAATTAGATTGGGGAAGGCCAAGAAGTTAAGGTTGTCAAGTGTACCTTTGAGACCAAAATTTGAAAGGCTTATGTTGGTGACGCTTCCAAGTCTATCACAAGCAATTCCAACCCAGTTGCAAGGGTTATCCCCAACCCAAGAAGAGAAGCTTTGGCTTTGGCTGTCAAGACTGGCTTTCCATTTGAGAAGAGTTTCTGTTTGATTAAGTAAAGAAGTGGTGGAAGAAGCAGAAGTAGAAACAAGAAAAGACTGGAGTAACAGGAGGAAGAGCAAGGGTGATGCCATAATACCAATGATTTAGAATGCCTTGGGGGTACAATAATGCATGCTCTTGCAATGACAGATATTTATACACATAAACGAGGTAAATAGGAAAAAACAAGTGGGACATCAACACCAATATTTCATCATTTTATATTAATGCTCAAAGAATCTGTCCTAAGAAAAGAAATAAATAAATTTTAACTTTTTTAACTTTTTTTTTTCATCATTTGCTTTATTTGCACCCATTAATGATATTGTAGCACTTTCACACTGAGCCTCAGCGCAGATTCTTCGACGTTTAGGTGACTGTTTGTGTCGGTCACAAAAATGTTGGTGTTGGTATATTCGGGGAAGGTATCATTTCTCATTCTTCGAGTGACTGCTTTCCTCTCCACTTAATTTTTAATTCCATTTTTCTAGACGGGAGTCACACCATTGAAATTTCGGTTCTTTTATTTATGTATTTATTTTTTGCTCAGCAGTTCTTTTATTTATTTCTACTACTTTTTTCACATATAAAAGTTTGATATATGAGTCCCACGAGTTTGGCATTTAATTTAGGATTTTGGACAGAAGCAGTTCAACCAAAAAAGACTAAGTATTTATTTTGAAGAAAAAAAATTTAATGTAATGGTGTATATAAATGATATTTAAAGTTTTTTATCAAAAAATTGCTTGACAAAAACTATATATAAGAAAAGTAAAAAAATATTAATTTTTATTCATATTTTTTTGTTAAAGGACAATGATTAGAATAATATATAATTCAATATATTCTATAATATATTTGTTAAAAAATATTATTTTTAAATTTAAATTAAAAATAATAAATTTAAAATTATATATTTTAATGATTGAATTAATAAAAATTAATGAGTGTATTAAATAAAAAAATATATTAATTATTTTTTATTAAATTATTATCTAAAATTAATACTTATCAACAATTTACATAACTTTAAAAAAAAAAATTTCTTTCGATCTAAATAACTCAATTTTCATTTCATTTTTCATTAACTTTTCCTGGACCTTAGCCACGCCATCGGCATTTCGATTTTTCTAGTAATTATTTTTGGGTTTTCCAACTTGTGTCAGCACCTTTTTGGATGAAAAATCGAGCTTGTAATATATCATACTCTAGTTCAATATGCTAAGGTATACCTAAAAATCCTAACAGAAAATTGTGCTCGCGGTAATAAGAATATGGTGTCATGTTACTCTCACAAAGAGTTGATAACAACTCATAAATGAATGGGGATGACTGTTGGGTGTATTCATAAGGTGTAATTTTTTGCCATCTATTATATCAAAAAGATTCATAAACATCGTATCTTTGATATACATAACATCATTCCAATAATTGAGATTAACTAATGATAAAAGAGATTTGGTACAAATAAAAATATAATTTTTTAAAAATATTTTAATTATGGATATGATATTTTTTTTAACTAATTAAGGTTATCACATTTTTAAAATTCTTGATCAAAGAAAATAATTAGAGAAAATCATTCCTTAAAAAATTGGTAAACAAAATATTAGTTATTGCAAATTGTGTAAAAAATAAAAAACAATAAACTCAAATTTGTCACTTATTTATTATAATTTTAAGATATAAAAATATTTGAATATGCCTAATTTTTTTATTTTACTAAATTTTTTTTAGTTGCTGAGACTAGGTTTGGTAATCAAAAAGTAAAATAAAAAGGAAAATTAAGTGATATTATCACTAATTTAAAAAAGCATCTGTAGTATTGAAAGAGTTGGTTTTTTTTTTTTTTTTTTTTTTTTTGTATTGAAGAGTTAATTATTTGGTAATATAAAAATTAAATTTTTAATTTTGATCTCAAATTAAAAAATTTTTAAATTAATACCAATTCAATTAAATTTTCATGGATAGTATTTAAAGATTTATGATTTAATTAGTAAAAAACTTACCCTTTATTGATTAAAAGTTTTAAAAATAAAACAATTTTATAAATTTTTTAATTTGAATGTCAATTACTTACTTTCAATCAAATAAAAAATTATTAATTAATTTTAAAATATGTTTCCTTTTTTTTTAACATGGATAATTTAAGGTAGAGAAAGGAAAAAAGGTGGAGATTGAACCCACACCCTTAGGTGAGAAGCCCTCCAAAGATATTGAGGTAGTTACTTGGGCAACTGTAGGCTTCTTTAATTTTAAAATATGTTTAAATTAATCTAAAACATGAGTATTATTTATTTTATACTTTTACAAAAAATATACAAAAATTAAAAATTTATATTACTATTGCACGATAAGCTTGTCGTGCAAGAACCGGGACTGCTTTCTCCACTTCATTTTTTATTAATTTTTTCTAGACCTTCAGTCATGCACGGCATTGAAATTTTTTTTTTTTCTATCAGTAACTTTTTTTTTTATTTACCAAGAAAAACTATTTTTTTACTACTTTCCACGAGTTATCATTTTCCATGCAGAACTGAGGCACACTTAGGTTTAGAATATTATTTTAAATTTTAAGTTTTTATTATTATTATTTTATTATTTTAAAAATATATAAAATATTAATTAAAATAAATATTAAATATATTATATGTTTTTAAAATATGAAAAAACTCAAAAACCTACTATTCCATCTATATTATATTACTTTCATAATAAGCCTTCAAAGCGCAGATTCTTTGACGTTTAGGTGGCTGTTGCCTGTTGGTGTTGGCCACAAAAAAGTTACTGTTGGTATATTCATTGAAGGTATCTTTTTCTCATTCTTCGAGTAAGTTCTTTTCTACCCCACTTAATTTTTTATTTCATTTTTCTAGACGGGAGTCACGCCGCTGAAATTTCAGTTCTTTTATTTATGTATTTATTTTTTAATCAACAGTTCCTTTATTTATTTCTACTGCATTTCACGTGTAACAGTTTGACATACGAGTTGATAACGTTTTTGTTACTTAATAGCTATTTCTCGTTTCGTGAAAATTTTTTCATATTAATCGTATAACTTGAATCTCACTCATTTTCAATATTCAGAGGAAATTTGACATAT